TCTCTTCAAGTGTGCACCTTTCAGTGAATTCCCTTCCCTTTCCCTTCTCACTCCATCTCATCACCACCCAAAGCTTCCAGGACTTTTCAAAATGAAACACATTCTCCCCTCCTTCCACCCACCCTTTTATAGTCAGGATGCAAACCTTATTCCAAAAATAAATCAGCCTGACGAGAGGCCAGGAAAAGCAAAACTTAATAGTTTTATACGTTCATTATTTAGTTATGGGACATTTGTTGGACAGATTTATTGTCACATTTTTACAAATTCCCCTACAAATAAATAAATCTAAGATATGCCCAAATTACTCTGGCCTCTTGACCCAGCATGTTTTTGTAATTACTTGGCACTCCCACTCTATGCTACTTAAATTAGGGAACAGTCACCAAGTTATTTTTAGGCCATAGCAACACACACAAACACACAGACACACAGACACACACACACACACACAGCTAGACCTAGCTTGTTATTTGTACTCTATTGGAAGAGGAGGCAAATTTGTCTTTTACTGATATTACCATGTCTGTTCAACAAGAGGAATAATACTGTTGAACTCCATTTATCGAGTGCTTACCACTTATAAGGGAAAGTCTACACATGCTGCAAGCATTAATTTATTTAATTTCTAAAGTTGTGCTGTGAGCTAGTGGCTATAGGCCCTTTTTCATAAATGAAGAAATGAAGGAAGATGTTAAGCAATTTTCCCTACCGCACATGGGTAGTAACACTTCTACCCATGGGCCCTCCCTGGTGGCACAGAGGGTTAAAGCGCAGCACTGCACAGATGCTTCAGTGTGAGTTTGATTCCCCCGCCCTGGAGGTGATGGACACAGGTGGCAGACCTCTCCTGTGGGCCCATTGCTCCCCTCAGCAATGTACTGTCTGCCTGTTCTGCTCCCCACTCTGTCTGATGAATCCTCTCACCATCCTTGCACCTCTGGCCTGGACCCCGTTCTGTATGCATAAATAAATAATTTTAAGAAGAAGTCCACCCAGATAGACCTCAGAAGTACAGGACCCCACAGCCCCACCTGAATGTCTTCATTTCCTGTAAGGCTGATGGCTCAGTTGCGAGTTAAACACAGACTCAGAATAACAACAGTAAGTCTGTGAATACAGAAACAGCTTCATTTCACACACCTTGCAGAAATCCTCATAACATCTCTGGGAAATGAGAGGAACTTCTGTCCACCACTCCCTTCCCCACAAACAAAGCAGAAACAGAAATAATCTGTTTCTGAACTTAGCCATTACCTTGTCATAAATCTGTGCTGCCTACAAGTATCTACTTTAGAATTTTTTTTACCTGGAAAAACATGCAATCTCAGTGGTTCATGTCCCATTTATAGTGTAGAAATCCAATTCCCCTTTTTATGTTCTTCTTGAGGAGAGCCTCTCTTTCTCCCCAAATCCTCCCCCAGTGCAGAGCAGGCCTGTGGGGCAAACTGAGGCAATATCCCCTTATTGTGTAGCACAGAGCAAGTACAGGAGGCTCAGGCCTGACCTGTGTCAAAGGGAAGCAACAGGGCCCCTCAAGGAGGCACACCCCCCCCCAATCTAAGCTACAGATGTCTTTCCACACCTGCCAGGCAGTTAGTCATGAAGAGACTATGTTTGGAAAAACTCTCAAAAATGGGTACATGACTTGTTGAGAAGTCATATTAAAACATTCAGTTTAAACATGAACTATATTTCAATACATTATAATGTTGCCTATACCATAAAATATTTGAACAGCCAAAAAGGAAGAGAAAGGAAATAGAGGAAATATTAATAATTACTTAATCTCTGTGATAGGTCTGTTGGGGCTCAATAGGCTTTTATCTACTTGTCCATATTTCAGAAAAATTTTACAATAAAAGTCTTACAGGTCTGGAGGAAGTTGTAGTAGATGATCTTACTTACATAGGTAAAAAAGAAAATATTTTCCCAAACCCAGCCTTACTGGAAAGGGAGAAAGGATGCTTTCCACTGATACAGCATAAGAATAAAGATGGTTGCTGCCATGGAGGGCCAGGGCTGCCTAGCCAGCTCACGCGATTTGTTGAGAAGTCATATTAAAGATCAACTTGGGGTAAAATGAAGGGCAATTCTTTCAAAGACTTTGAACTCCATAAATATTCATTTATGTGGGTCATTTGAGTAGAAGTACCAGTCTGATGCCACTTATCCTTGGGAAGATGAGAATGAAGCATGGTTCCAGACATAGGTCACAACAAGGAGGGGATGTAAATTAGAAAAGAAACTTAATCCCAGGGACTTCTGGGCCTCTCATCAGTGTCATCTCAATCTGACACAGGGTTACTAAAATGGCAACCATGGAGCCTCTCTGCTTGACAGCGGCACCAAAAATGGAGAACAGGGCATTGAAACCAGGGGACATAAAACTTGGACAGGGAGGGTAGCAACCAATGTTTACAAACATAAACTAGAGAATCCAATGGGCCAACTGTAAATTACCCAAGATTCTACTAAACACTCTGAAAATAAATCAATGAGGCCACAGAATTTTCTATCTCATGTTCTTACTAAACTACCCCTCATCTACCCCACCCCCTGCCACCTCTTCCCTGCAAAAATCACTCATTCCAAAATGGTACCAATACTACTCTTGCTGAAATAAGATCTCAGCTTACCAGGGGAAGGATTACTAAAATAAGCCTCAGCAGAAAAGCCAGAGCGAATGACCTGCTTGACCCATTCAACCTGGGAGAAGTTACTGGCCATGCCTCGTGAGATGCCCACCCCATTCTTCACTTCAGTGGTGCCATGGAATTAACCTTTGGTTTTATCCAAAGGAGAGGATAAATAGGGGTATGCTAATGTTGCTCTCTTTCCCTTCCTTCCCATCTTGGTCCCCATTCTAGGCCACCCCCCCCCAAAGAGAGCACAATAAGAATAAATAAAGTAGATTACAGACTCTTTTGCTCATAAACTACAAATTGTAAGCCAAATTCCCAGATAAGTGAAGAAAATGCCCAAAAGACTACAAACAATCCAACCTCTACTACCAGCGCGTCTTCCAGGTCGACTGCCGCTGTGTCTCACCAACCCGAAAATGACGAGCCCTCCCAGCGGCCTCCCAGGGCGCCCAGTGGTGAGGTCAGCAGTGTGTCCAGCCCCGCCCCATTGAGGCAATCTTACTGACACTGAGGGACAAGCCCAGGCTGCCCTGCTCTCAGCTGTGTCCACAGGAGGTGGAGAGGAACCCCACTTTCCTCAGCAGCACCCAAGAGATTCATTTCTCAGTGATTGGCAGGCAACCCTGTATACAGCAAGGCCCATAGCAAAGCAGGAGGTAAGGGCTACAATTCATCCTAGTCACCTCCATGTTCAAGTCCAGGATCATCTTCGGATCACATGGACTTGAAAGCCCTTCTTATCAAAATGTACTCTGCATGAGAATGGAGATTATCAACCCATTGGCCAGCTCTTTCTTTGCTCTTTAAGATAAATTATTACAAGTGGGAAATTTGTAGACTAAATTTTCTCATTGGGAAAAGATGAGGCAAGTCATGACTCAGGTGAGAGAACCCAGGCAGGTAAGTCTACTGGAAATCACCCACTGTCAAACAAACAAGAATATGAAGCAACAGAAGGCAGAATTACACAGAGGAAATCTGAACATATCTGTTACCCCACAAAGAACCATCAACAACAAACAATGGACAACATTCTAACTCACTGGACATGTCCTCCAAGATGTTCTCCTTCCCCAGCATCCACTAGCCCTAAGAAAAGTAGCTTTGTGATCCTCAAGTTCAGTGAGGATGAGGTTGAGAGCAGTGGAGAGTGGGAAAAGGGGATTATACCCAATGCATTCTGAGCCACATTTCCAAGGATATTACCTAACAAAAGGCAGAACGCATCATAGGGAAGACAAGGAAAATGCAGAGTGGTCCCACTAAGACAAAGTAAGTAACCTTGTTCATCCCAAAGGCCTATTACAATTTCAATATGCAAGGTGTTCTAAAGGATACAGCAATATCCTCCATCAACACATTTCGGGACATGGACTAGGCTTGTGGCCTAGTACATGTACATGAAACACAAGAGAAGGAAGGAGAGTTCTCTGAACCTCATTACCATCCCAGGTAGAAGACACCAAAACATTAGGGAGGTGGGCAGGTGCCCTAATGTCAGTTTCTGAGAACAAAGAGCCACAACCGTGATGGACACAAGATGAGGGACACTGCTTGTTTAGATAACACTGCATGGAAGTTCAGACAATGGTGGCAATTAATTCCCCTAAGGCTCAGCAACACCGACTCAGTTATTCTGCACTCAGTGCACTCACCACTCCATCTTCTGGGAAACCAAGATGGCAACAGTTGTCACTTGAGGTCAGAAAGAGAATGGGTTAGGAAGTTGTTCAGAAACAGTCCCCCTTGGAGCTCTGGCAGAGAAATGGATGTTTTGGTGAACTTACACTTTCTGTGGGGCCTTAAATTAAGGATCTCTGCCTTTGAAGTTTACTTTCTAAAAATCTCCCAGCAGATCAGGGAGATGAAAAAGGGGAGAATTCTTACAGAAAGAACAGGTATCTGTAGGTTTACATGTAGTTCCCCAGAACTGCTGCTTCATGTGTTCCAGTTCCACAAACACTGGTTGAGAGAGACAATATCTTCCCAATTAGCAATTCATTGGAATAAACCTACCAGGTCAGAAATGGAGACCAGCTAGTGGTACAAACCCCCTGCAGCTGTATAAATCCCCTTTTAGAAAGATGAGCAGTCTTGGGGAGGTGAATTGACTTGCACAATGCAAAGGAGCAGCTGAATCTAGACCAGAACCCAAATCTGCTGGCTTCCAACACAAAGTTGCTGGAACTTTCTCACAACACCAAAATAATTAAGAAAGAGCAGAGAAGGGAGGACAAGAAGAAAGTTGAATTTTGGTCATTTGCAGCCAGGTGCAGAAGGATGCTGGGGCTTCTAAGAGAAAACCCCAAGTGGCCCCACTCATCAAGTTGCGTGAACAGGGCCCAGGGGGATTACCTTTCAACACCAGAGGTTCCTTGCCTTCTCTCTTCAGGGACTCGAGGACTATGTGAAGTGGCTGGGAGGGCATCACTCGGCTGGGCTCATTGGTATTCTCATCATAAACTATAATTTCTTTGGAAAAGATCCTCTTGAAAGAGTCCTTGCCTTCCCTACAGGAAATCAAGTCTAGGACCGTGATCTTGCCCTGCTGCAGTCTCCGCCGGCTGATCTTGTCGGCGCAGTTAATGTGGACAGCTCCTTGGATATGACTCTTGTTGTATTCCATGAAGGGCCTGCAGTCGATGATGACAGGGCCCTGGCTTGGGAGGTGACTCTTGCTGCATTTGGTCATCTTCTTCGCCAAGTCATTGGGGTAGATTATTTTGATGCTAGCTAGCTGCTTGGGGGTCCCTGACACAGGGCTACCCACTCCAGCTGATGGACTTAAAGAGCCTGCATTCTCAGAGTTGTTGACCATCTGGTGGGCAGGGCAGGTGGTGGAGGTCCCGATGGCAGTGGAGGCAGTGCCAGTGGCTATGGCTTGGGTTTGGGCCTGATTGTCCTTGTCGTAGGTTGCCACACTGCAGCAGCTGGCACTGCTGCACCCACAATTCAGGGAGCGGGCAGAGCCGCTGGATGAGGGCATATACGTCAGATTCGCAGTCTTAAGGGACACAACAGTGGTGGCAATGACCGGAGGAGTGCTGTTACTGCCTGGGGCAGCAGGACCAAGGTAGCTAGAGTCTAAACAGAGGCTGAGATCCTGAGGTCGGACAGGCCTAGACAATGCCACTACTACCCTGTGGTCTAAAGGAGACGGAGGCATGAGGAGGCTGAAAACCGGCAATTCAAGAAGAACTCAAGACAGTCTGTAAAGAAGGGGAAGGGGAAAGAAAGAATAAAGTCATATGACACAAAAGACAGTCTCACCCACCCCTAGGAACACCTTGGCAACCTAAGTGCCTTTTATTGTGTAGCCCTCCAAAAGTCCAACTCATTTTTACGGATTGAAAGAGAAGGGAAAATGGAGGGCCCCCATCCATTTGGTTGCTAAGTTCAAGGTGAAATGTACAGTCTGTGCAAGTGTTGATGCACTATCTTTCCTGGCTCTACAGCAAAGTTCAGTCTTACACAAGACAAAAGCACAAAGGATTAAAAACTGAAGCTGGAATTGGAAGCACCTATTCCTGACCGCCTCTCTTGGTCAGGAGTATATTGCAACCTTCTGAGAAAGACCAATTTGTCCTGCCTTGTGCTCTTTGCATTTAATGCCCTCATCCACTGCAAAGGCAAAGGAAGGCCCAAGAGCTCTGGCATGGCTCAAAGAAACATATAGTAGCTAAATATACAACAGAAGTGGATATCAATCAACTTTTCATCCTAGAATGAATTACACCCTCACCAATGAATCTCTTTAACTAGGACCTTTTCATTTCACCAGATCCTTTAAAAATAGTGTCAAGTTATAACCCCCTGTGTTTTCTGTTAGTCTCTTATAAATTAACCTGCAAGTCCCCTTTCATTAAAAATGGGTGTCATGAAATGAAGCCTCAGGTCAAGGAGTCAGGTCTGGAACTTCCAACCCTCGCAGATCCATCAAACTTAGCTCCCTTGCTTCCTACCCCCATGTCCTTCCCACCCACCCACCCCTTCAACTCTTTTCCCTCTTGCATTTCCCCACTGGCACCTAGAGCTTTTCTCCTTGGGAAGCAGCGAATGTGTACAATATTTCAGTCCCATACAGATACTACCCTCTTCAAGAGAATGGATTGGATAAAGAGTTCTTCCTAATTAGCCTGTCCCATTGAAAGGGACAATTAAGTGTTGCCTACCCAGTTGATCTACCTCCCCTTTTATGACTGGCACCTGGAAAGAGTTGGTGTTTAGGGAGGTATAGGGGCACTCTAGAACCCAGCCCCAGTGGCTCCCCCACAGAAAAGAAACTCAACCCCTTGCAAGAGCTGCCCACCTAAATGAACTTTGAATGATGACCGGGAAAATGTCATTTATCATCCATCTACACACGATCGTCACCATTCTCTGACACACAGCCAATGTGTCACAGGCAGAATCCACACATGCACACACAGGCACACATCCATCAAGTCCATAAATCCCCACGACTTGGGTTTCTCTCACCCACCTTTGGATGGTAGTAAAGGATCCAATCCCTTCCCTCCCTTGCAGTCCTGCCTCCCTCCCTTCTCCCTTGTATTTTAGTGAAGAGCAAGTACTATTCCAGAAGCTAAAACTGTTTCCAGTTGGACCAGGCAGTGAAAGTCTTTGCCATTGTTACCTGTTAGGGCTGGTCCAGGATCAACAGTGCCTTTCCTGAAAAGGACTCCTGTTTTCAACGGGACCCCACTTCACACCTTGGTGTGAGCCCCAACGGAGTGCGTGGCTCATACACAACAAGCACAGCGTATAAGGAGATCTGCATCTCTGCAGCAGAGGGTCCGGAAGAGAGATGGCCTGTGAAACCATCCAGACCGACTCAGCCCACCTCTCAGAGAAATACTGACCTATCCCTTCCCTCAGTAGTATTTCCACGTCTAGGTCGGGGGCCAGAAAGAAATTGAAGATCCAGAGAATGCCCCTTCCCCACTTCTGAGGCACTTAATATCCTCCCTTCCCAACACATCCTACTTACAAGCCTCAGGCATTTAAAACTGCCGCAAAGCACACCAACAACCCTCATTTTTTCTTCGCTTCAAATCCAAGTAGACTGCAGAGACAGTAAACGCACAGAGCAGCATGAGCCAACAGCATATAACCTCACCTGCTCCCGAGTAAGCATCGTTCATTCTCTCTCTCTCTCTCTCTCTCTCTCTCTCTCTCTCTCTCTCTCCTCTCTCTCTCTCTCTCTCTCTCACACACACACACACACACACACACACTCACTCACCTCACTCACTCACAGAACCCTGGACTCTCAGACCAGCCGCAGAGACTTCCACTTACTTCATAGATAGTATAGCCCTTTCCCATCTGGCGCTCTGCTTCAGCTATGGATTCGCGCATTCAACCCCCATTCACTTGGCTTCATTGATCTCCAGCAGCAACATAGTTACTTTCTCTTTTGCTACACTGTAAATGTAAGGTTTTGAGGGGGCGGGCCGGCTGCTGACCGACTGCACTTTGGGCCAATAATTTTGCGAAGAAAGATGACCGCTACATCGGAGCGGGCTGCAGCCAATGGGAATAGGAGAGGGAGGAGCCGAGGGCGTGGCCTCGCCCCTTTAAGGCGGGTTCAACCGACGCCGCTCTGGGCGCTGGGTGTTAAAACACTGGCGGTGATGTCATTGGCAACCAATCAAAAACTTAAAAGGGCCAGCGGGGGCCCGCGCGGAGCAGCTGCTCTCTATTTACATGTAAACCGAACCGCCAGGATGTAGTTAACCCCTTCCGGGGCTGAATTGTCAATGGACTGGACTTGCCACTCTGGTTGTAACTGGTTATACACCGTGAACTGGTTCCCGCTGGAACCCCTCATTCTGGGACAGACCACACTGTCTAATTTTTCCTTTTCACTCCGGACAATCAAAAGAGTCGGAGTAACTTTCTAAAGGCAAAAGACTGCGAGAACAATCACCGCCCACAGTGGGAAAACAGACTTTTCCAAGTCCTTCGAGGTGCCTGGACAAACCCTAAACCCGATTCTCCGGTGGCATAAAGCCGCCGGTTTGGAGTGGTCCCGCGTGTGCGCAGCCAGCGTTCCCCGCCCGGGGCATGGGCGGGTACCGAGATGAAAAGCTGGACCCCTGGCCAGTGCAGGGATGCTCGCGAAGTCGGGGCAGCTCCATTGAACCCCGCGCCGCCAGGAAGCGTTGTTCGCTCGCCCGCAGATGTCGCTACGATTTCGGCTGCCCAAGGCTACCCGAGCGGTTTTGGCGCTGAGCCCTCAGGCTCCCCTTCTTCTGAGCCCGGGTCACGCCCTCCGCCGGGTTCCCTGCGGGCCTGTGCCGGACAGATCCTGAGTTCCAAGGTGGTACCCGTAGGGCTGCTCAGAGGCAATGGCCTGGTCTCGCGCCAGAAGTTATAGGCAGCGCTCGCGAAGCGGCTGAACTGCGCCACCCCCGCCAGGCCTGGCTTGGCTGTGTTAGCCCGGAGCCCACCACGCCCCCTGAGCCCGGCCTCTCTGACTGTAAGCATCCCCTACCAGCCTCAGGCGAAGGACCCGGAACCTCAGCCCGCCGAGCCGGCGAGCCCTCAGCCTCGGGGCCTCAGGCAAGCTAAGACCGTTAGCTCTGCGCGTCTGCAACAGCCTTGCAAGATCCGGGAGTAAATAATCGTATCGGCCGCCGCTGGCGGAGCGTGTAGGAGCTGGCGCCGCCCCTCCCATTCTCCTGGCTGACACAGCGACGCTGGGGGCCGCAGACCCGCCTACCAGCGGGATGGTGGAGGGAGAGGCAGCCCCGCCAAGCCTCGTCGGGAAACTGCGAGAAAGTTGTCTTGGGCTGCGAAAAGCATTGAAGATGCCAAGATAAACTATGGGGAGTCTGCATAAAAGAACCCGAAAGAAATAGAGCTCCCTCTGTCTCCAAGAGGCAGAGGCAAAAGCAAAAGACTCCTCGCAAGGAGTAACACATGATGAGCACTGTAAAATATCCCGGTTATGGTTTTCCTCTTATACTTTTGAAGGTATTTGGAGACATATATCAAGACTCCAGGCCTAAAAAGCAAGCTGAGGGGTAGAGACATGTTCACATAATTGCTTTAACTGCTGATCTGAAATCAGAAGATGCCAAAATAAGGCCAACTGGCTACCCAAGTGCAAAGAGCTATTAAGAGAAATCCCCTTGGGTATCTTGTGGGGCAGGGGGCGAATATATATATATTTGCATAGATATTTGCAAATATGTATATACACACACAATTCAATTTTCACATCAGTGTTTCATTTTGCAGTAAGTGATATAATCATCTTAAACAGCAAAGGGTTGTGTGTAGCCCCTGCTCACATACCAACACACGTACACATTTAGCTCAAAATGAGAACTGTCTAGTTAGATGTACCGTTTGGGAATCAGAAGGAGCTGGCCTGGAAAGTTGAAACCAGATCAGAAAACCAGAGTGTCTGTCCTGAATCCATTTGGCGTCGGAATGTGTTTCTCTAATCATAAATAATTATTGAGAAAATGTTCACTAGTTCAGAGTTGGTGAGTTGTGGATATAATTCCTGATTCTGTGTCTCATTTGTTGTATGTGTTCATCCAAATTCACTGTGCTCATTTTTCTCTCTATGAAACAGTAAGAGTTTAGAAGAAAAAGAAAGGTAAGGATGCAAGTACTAGGAGGGAAAATGATTCTCTGCTGATTCAGATACAAAGCATTGCCCTTCTGATAGAAATGGGTGCCTCTAATTCAAAGATGCTTATGCTCTATAAGTTATTTATTTGCTAATGTTTCAATATCTAAACCAAACGAAGTCAACAGTTGAAGAGGAATTCTTAGCAGCTTTTCCTGGAGATTCAGAAGGGGAAATTAACTTCAAAAAAGAAATATAATTCATTTAATAAGGTGATTATTTGATTGTAGTTCTAAGCTAGTAGGATTATTATAATTTGGTTGACAAAGAACCTAAGATATCCAGGCTGAAAAATTGGGAAAGATGGCAGAAATTCCTCATCTTTTATCAAAACTGAAACACTGAATAAACATTAACACATACTAAGATGTAACAGTGTTTGAAATTGAGCATCTCTAAGCATACAGTTGTTGTTTCAATTATGGAAGAGTAGGGAAAAAATTAGATGCTTTCTCAGTCACTGCTCTTCCAATCTTCTCTTATAAAGAATAAGGTGATTTTATTCCTATTTTCTGAGTCACAAAGTAAAAATGCTATCAAAAATACTGCCCTTAGATTTAAATTTGTCATACCAGACAGCCAATGGCTATGAAACCTGGTCTGTATGCAAATCTGTGAAGTCTTAATGTTCACTTTAGTCCCAAAGAAGCAACAAAACATCTCCATTGTATTACAGTGCTGTAACATGACTGCACTGAGCCATATTTTTGTTCCTATAAGCAAACATCAAAAGAAAACTATTGCTGTTCACAGTATACAGTGCTATGTATCAAAGCTAAAAGGTGAAAAAAAGCTTAAGTAACCTGTGAGATAAAAGGTTGAGCAAATTTATTAAATGACTTCCAATTGTTTTTGTGCCTTCAAATAGTTAAGTGGGGATGATGACAGAAGTCAGGGACTAGGCAAGAGTCAGTTTTCAAAATAATCTCAAGGTCAATGTGGATTTCTGGAGTTACTAGAAAAGAAAACTTAGAAATAATATAGCGGCCCTTTCTGATGGCACAACAGGTTAGGATGCAGCACTGTAAGCTAGCAGCAGCTGCTTCACTGCTAATTCAATCGCTGGCCTGGAGGTGATCTACATAGTGCAGTAGACCTCTCCTGACCTCACCCAATGCTCTGCTCAGAAGTGTAACTCATCGATCTGTCTGTTTTGCTCCCCACTCTGTCTCTGGTGAATCCACTCACTGCCACTGCACCTCTGGCCTGGATCCCCATTCCCTATGCATAAATAATTAAATCTTTTAAAGATATATATATATATATATATATATATATATCCCAGGACAAGCATCAAATTAAATAATCCAGGAGAGGGGAACCAACGGAAGGATAGAAAAGTGAGGTTACCTGCTGTACAAGTCATTGAAACCAGTTGGTGAATCACATGGGCCACTTTCCAGGACAAGAGAAGAAGAGCAGTCACTGCATGTGTTGTGGCTGATAAAAACAGAAACAGGCCCTCAGCTTGCTTCACTACCCATGAGCCCATGGATCTCCCCCATTAAACTCATAGGTTGATGCCCTTGTGTTCTTAGAAAGACTCAGAACCACTTAGGTCCTGTGTATGCTACTTTCCAGTCCAGTATGGCAAACACCAGCCACCTGACTGCCAAGCACTTGCTATATGATGGTAAATCTGAATTGAGGTGTGTGGTGTTGGGGGGAAGGGGAGGGGCTTGGAGGGGTGGTTGGCAGGGAAGATAGATTTTTTTTTTAAAGATTGTATTTATTCATACAGAACTGGAGTACAGGACAGAGATGTGGAGGGTGAGAGGATTCACCAGAGACAGAGCAGGGAGCAGAGCAGGCAGATCTATGAAGTACACTGCTGAGGGAGCAGTGGGCGGGTCAGGAGAGGTCTGCCACGCCATGTGGATTTCCTCTGGGGCAGGCAGGGATCAAATTCATGCGGAAGTGGCTTTAGCTACTTAGTGCTATGCTTTAACCCGCTGCTTAGGGCTATGCTTTAACCCGCTGCGCCACCAGGGAGGGCCCAAAATGTCATAGATTTTTAAAAATATATTATCTCCCCGAACTGATGAAACTCAACAAAAATAAAGTAAACAACCCCATCAAAAAATGGGCAGAAGAGCTAAAAAGACACTTCTCCAAAGAGGAAATGCAGATGGCCAACAGGCATATGAAAAAATGTTCAACATCACTCGTAATAAGGGAGATGCAAATTAAAACCACAATGAGATACCACCTCACCCCAGTGAAAATGGCACATCTTCAAAAAACTAGCAACAACAAATGTTGGCGAGGATGTGGAGAAAAAGGAACTCTCCTGCACTGCTGGTGGGAATGCAAACTAGTACAACCACTATGGAAAGTTGTTTGGAGGTTCCTCAAACTGCTAAACATGGAGCTTCCTTATGACCCAGCAATCCCACTCCTAGGTATCTACCCAAAAGACACAAAAATACTGATTGAAAAAGATACTTGTACCCCCATGTTTATTGCTGCTTTATTTACGATTGGAAAAACATGGAAGCAGCCCAAATGCCCAAAAGTAGATGACTGGATAAAAAAGATGTGGTACATATATACAATGGAATATTACTCAGCAACCAAAAAAGAGAAACACATGTCTTTTGCAGCAACTTGGATGGAACTGGAAAAGATCATGCTTAGTGAGATAAGCCAGAAAGAGAAAGAAAAATACCGATGGTTTCACTCATAGCAGAAGTATAATGGACCAGGTGGAAAATAACAAAAATAGTGAACAACCATATACCAGAGACATTTTGTGGGGGTGGAGTGGGGAATGGGATCAAAAACGGGGTGGGGGGAGGGAAATGCACGGGATTATGGTGATGGCACATGGGTGACTTGGTGA